TTTGAGGGCGCCTTGTCTCCCTTGACAACTCCCTTGAGAACTCTTATATATAATCACGAAGGGTGTTTACTTTTGTTCTTTTAAATTTGATTCAAGGTGGTTATAAAATTTGTAGAGAGCTACAGGAAGTAGATACTATGGTGGCTCAGTAGTGCACAACAACGAAATTAGCACAACACAATGGAAACAAGCCACAACACAACAGAAACAAGTCGCAACATAACGCAAACAAGTCGCAATATAACGCAAACAAGTCGCAACGCAATGGAAACAAGCTGCAACACAATGCAAACAAGTTGCAACACAACAGAAACAAGATGCAACACAACAGAAACAAATCGCAACACAACGGAAACAAGCCGCAACACAATGCAAACAAACGGAAACAAGTCGCAACACAATGGAAACACGCCGCAACACAACAGAAACAAGTCGCAACACAACGCAAACAAGTTGCAATGCAATGGAAACAAGCTGCAACACAATGCAAACAAGTTGCAACACAACGCAAACAAGTCGCAACATAATGGAGACAAGCTGCAACACAATGCAAACAAGTTGCAACACAATGCAAACAAGTCGCAACACAACGCAAACAAGTCGCAACGGAAACAAGCCGCAACGCAGGCCGCAACACAACGCAAACAAGCCGCAACACAACAGAAACAAGCCGCAACACAACGCAAATAAGTCGCAACACAACGAAATTAGCACAACACAATGCATATGACTAATTTTGTGTTGTGCTAATTTTGCAGTGTTGCGGCAATTTCTTTGTGTTGTGCACTACTGGTCCACCATAAGATACAGTATAGTCATACAGACTGCATACAAAAAGAGAGAGAAGCAGTATTCTCTGGAATAAGAATAATAATGTAATCGCTTGTGTACTTTAACAAAATCAGTTTGCTCTCAAACTCCATGGAAGCATTGCTAGTAATAATAGTACTTGTAGCCCATGAGCATCTACAGTTATGCAACAATCTCTGATCAGGTCAGCCTAAAAAAGCAACTGCAGGAAAAAACAACGCATAATGGGATGCACAGTAAACTGCCTATCACCAGAAACAAATGACGGGAGCTGTTGGCATGCTGCAGGCTGGCACATCACATGTCAGTGTTTCTAGACACCAGCATATGAACAGCTTCACTGTTTCCTGACTGTAACAAACGCTTTAGCTGACAAACAGAACAAATGACTGTCAAGGATCCAGTTGTATTCGAGTGACCGAACCAGAACCAGGCCGACACGTCAGGCTGATCTGGAGACGTGACCCTCGGCCTACCCACGGCCAAGAAGTTCATCCAACCCTTCTGTAAGAATGCGATAACTGCGGATTTAAAAGCTCAGTCGCACATGTAGTGAGGCTGTCAAGCAAGATACTAACGGATGGCTGTTCAGCATTCGCAAACAGTTATTTTTCTGTTGATTTGTTGTTGTGCCATTTTGTTTTCCTGTGACAAATGCCATGAATTTTCCTCCAGGGATAAATAAAGAATGCCTGTCTGTTTTTCTTTATAGTCATTTCAACAACAAAGCCTTTTATTTAAGTCCGATGACTGCTGCATTATATTTTTCGGCTGTGTATCATAACTGTGCCAACATTTTATCATTATCCTTTTTGCAGAGTACAGGAAATGGATTGTACACTAGTTTAAATTATGCTTCTTGTATGTTTCAGACATGAGTTATAAATGTGAAATTAGGTTTTGAATATACAGATATAAAAAAAAAATCACAATTTTCCAGTACAGTTGGTTTCATTTATAAGGATTGTGGATTTGGGTTCCCAGTATGTTTAGAGGAACAGAGAGATTAGCCGTTTTATTTCACACACACGCCCTTTCCACCCCACAACATCATCACAGTCAGATGCACACTCCAAGAGCAAAGGAAAGAAAACTGAGTTCAGATCTTATTATAAATTAATGGCAGCTTCCCTATACATCCATATGCATGCCATCAATATATCATATGAGTTATTCCCTTTGAACTGTTTTACCTACAGACAAAGGTTCAGTCTTTTGATTGGCAGAGGAACTGAGCTTTACCTTTTTAATGATGAGGTGAATCTGGCTTTCGATGAAGAAAAAAAATCACATGTGTGATGGTCATTTCAGGAAATAAACAATCCTACCGTTTCATAAAGAATTAAAAAAGATGATTCTTTAATTGCCATGTGAAAATATAGTTCGTTGTTTTAATTACTTATTGATTATACTAATACATTGAAATAGGAGGCACAAATTATTGTGCTAGGGTGGACTACTAATGAGAATGTATGAGAACGAAGTGTCACAGTGCCCTCTAGCGGTGTAATCCTTGAACACCTCGTCTCAGAGTTCAACTTTCTCTCAAGTCAGGCGCTTTATACAATGTAAAACAAGTCATATGTTGCAGTTTCATTTAAATGGTTCGCGCATTGTTGATGTACAACCTCATAAATGTTACAAAAGTGAGCGTGAATATCGCTGGTGAACATTATTTACTTTACCTCACTGACTGCTGCGGTAGAGAAGATTAAAAATGACGAGACCTGGAGAAATCAAAGCGCGCGACAATAGTTGATGGTTTTTCACGTGTGTCTTAGTTAATATTTGAAATGTAGCGTTTCTGAGATTTGAGTGACATTTGCGGGGAAGAAAACTCTGGTAGGCTGACAGCATCCATGAGTCACTGGATATGAGCACACATCAAAGATTCATTTGCATCGCTTCGAGAAAATGCTTTGTGGCGCTATGGACCTACAAGCACTTTCAAAAAATACGAGTGACATATAACCGCCAGTGATTTTATTATTTTACTAAGAATTCTCCTCCCTGTAACCTCAACATGTCCTAAAAATTCATTGAGGCAGATTTTTAAAAGAGGAAGTGGTGCAATGAATCTGTCTGGAGGCTACAGGATGATGGGACGTTTTGTTTTTTTCACATCATTACTGCAAAGTAAAAAATAAAGGGATTTGAATACTTTTTGGATGCGCTGTAGGCTATATAAAAACTTATGGTATGGGTGTTGCATAACCTATATCAGATGACAGGTTCATGTCCCCAGCCAGTTTTAAAAGCATCTTAGATGAGCACACGCTGATGAAATTCATTTATGCACGGTTGCTTTTGCTCTTGATCTGATCTGAACTGTCAGATTAAAGGCTCAGTAACTAGATATAATGGCTAAAAGGCTGTTTATGATGTAATATCTTATAGCTGGCAGATGGCACAATAGCGAAATAATATATGCTGCTGTAAAGATACTGAAAGTAAAGGCAGACTCTCACATATAAAGCTGCAAATAGGAGGTTGCACAAAAATTGCATGATCAGATTTTTTCCAAAATTCCATGATGAAATAGTGAAAAGATAGTCAAAACACATTTATTAAACATTGATATTATTCAGCCTTATAATTTATAAATATAAATAATAAATATGTCTTGAGCACCAAAAAAGGATCAAGTGACACTGAAGACTGGAGTAATGACTGCTGAAAATTCAAATGCGTCTGACATGAACAAATTACGTTTTAATGTATATTAAATTAGAAATTTTATATAAAATAGAAGTTTATTTAAATTGTTACAGTATTTCACAATATTACTGTTTTTACGGTGTTTTTGAGGACAACAGACGTCTTTCAAAAACATTTTAAAACATCATACCGACCCCAAACTTTTGAACAGTATTGTTCCTTCACACCAAAATGAATTGATGGCATGTCAGAATATTAACTTAATCAAAATACTGCAAATGTAACATTTTCTTTGAAGTGCATTTAAAGAAAATTTAGCACAATTACATTTTATAACACCTTAAATGCCTACAAATGCAACCAAATTTTATTACAAAAAGCTGATTTCTTGGCTTTCTTCTATCTATAGATTTTAATTTCATGTTAAAATTGCTATTAAATGTGAAGAAGTTCTTTGATTCAGAGAGCTAGGCTTGAAACTATATATGAGCTCCAAGCAACAGATGTGTTAATGACATTGTGGACGCCTATGTGATCTTAAGTCAGTTTCCTGGAACAGACTTGTTGAAGCAATATGAAAAATTACATATTTAGTAATTGACAGTCAAAAGGTGTTGGCACAGGGCAGATTATTTTCAGAAACTTTTATTAGAGAATTTTTAAAAGCGCAAGTAACGTTTATAGAACATCCATCAAAGCACAATGGTAAGAGAATCAATTTATGGCAAAACCATGGCCAAAAAAAACCCCGTATATAGTAAGTAATAACTAATAAGTGCTGCCGTCATAAAGCACTTAAACTGGGCTCAAATAGGGAGTTGGCTATAGCTATTCATGTTATTTGCTGATGCTTGAACTTATTTCATCCATTCTTTCATCCACACACACACGTGTTGGTTTAGTCTGATTGTAATTCCTGCTGTGCAAGTATAAAGAGAGTGCAGCAAATTACATACCTCAAGTCTGAAAACATCTGGTTTCAGCAATCAAGTTCTGAGTGCAGTTCATTTGTAGAACATCTGGCAAATATGCCGTTAGAAAAGGGAACAAAATTAGCATAACATTTCCAGGTTCATTTGACATGTTGCTGGTTAAACTGGGCTCAAATAGGGAGTTGGCTATAGCTATTCATGTTATTTGCTGATGCTTGAACTTATTTCATCCATTCTTTCATACACACACACACACACACACGTTTTGGTTTAGTCTGATTGTAATTCCTGCTGTGCAAGTATAAAGAGAGTGCAGCAAATTACATACCTCAAGTCTGAAAACATCTGGTTTCAGCAATCAAGTTCTGAGTGCAGTTCATTTGTTTGACATCTGGCAAATATGCCGTTAGAAAAGGGAACAAAATTAGCATAACATTTCCAGGTTCATTTGACATGTTGCTGCTATTTTGCACAATTCAAATTAAGTAACTACATGTGAGGGGAGTTTTGTACTACAGCTTGCAGAAACAAATGGATCGATCCATTTAAATGTTTTCAGATGCAAAAAAGTATGTCCTCTGCAGCATGTCAACATTTTAATGAACTAATTAACATAAGTGTGTTATGCATTTTCAAAATGCAGAATTCTTTCAAAAGCAAATTAAATAGATGATTAAATAGGTGTTGAAAGGAATATTGCACAACATTCACGACTACCATAAGTTATAAATGATTCACCACGCTGCTCCTTTTTACCAACTATACATAATTTTTCCATTGTAGAAGTGCTTGGGTGTGAAAAGTGCGGGATTATAAGCTTCTTTCTTTTTTTTAATGATAAATACATAAAAAAAAATCACAGAGGCTGATGTTTGTGCCAGGTTGCCATTAGAGAGAAACAAGTCAGAACATGTTTCTTGATATTAAGTGAAAAGTGGGTCCCTAGTAACTAGATCTTTCTCAGGGTGACCGCTGAGTACTTGTCGACAAACAACAGCACATGAAACTGACACCAGCCACCTTCTTACAGCCAATCAGCTAGAAAAACCATTAGACAACAATAACAAAACCAAGAAACACATTCAAAACAAGCGGCAGAAAGCCAGAATTTCACTTGTATTGTAAAAGCAGAAGAGCCTCAAAATCATTTATTATGCCTCACTCAGAGAAAATAAGAGAGTCATTGCAGCAGAAAGCTGTGCACAAGAGCATTTCCTTCCAGAGGAGGAACAAAATTAAAGGAGTGTCTCAAGAGCTACAACTCAGGAACATGTTTCAGTGCGGCAAATAACTCAGATTAACATGAAACCTATACATCTGCATGTACATAAATTAAATTATTACAAACATTTCTAGTAATTGATATAATGCATACAGAATCTCTGCAAGTCCTTAAGTAGTTTTAATTCCAAGCCCTTAAACTCAACCCTTAAAACACAGATCTGTGAATTTGCTACCCAGCATGTGAGCGAAAACCTCGCTTGAGTCATAAATAAAATGTATTAATCAATAAGAAACATATTACAAATATTGAATTTGAACTCAAAAGTTTTAGAACTATAAGACAAGGCAACATAAGTATCCCGAACTTCATGTGAGAGGAGAGGAGGTATATCTGCTGTGCCTCAGCTCACGTAGGTCAACACGACTGACTGAATGGGCTCTCGGCACACCGGACACAACTTGTTCCGGTTCTTTAATTTCTTGGCGCAAGTGTAGCAAGCCATAAGGTGTCCAGTTCTTCCGTGGATGATGCAGCCGTTCTTGGGGCGACTTTGACAGATGACGCAGGGCTCAAGGCAAGTGGCGGGCAGGTAGGCCTCTAGGCTGTTGTAGCGCTCTAGCTCGGGGGTCTCTTCCTGGCTGCTGCCCCCACCAGAAGAGGTTGAGGGCTGCAATGACGAGGTCTGAGAGTCAGTCATAGAGCCGGAGAGAAGTTCGTCTTTAGCGCCGATGGGAGATTGCAAGCACTTGCCATCGGGTACGTCCACTCCTTCATCTGTTTCTGGAAGAGGGCTTGAGGGTTTGGAAGGAAGCAGTTTGTCATCTGAGGCTGAGCTGGGAGTTGTGGTGATGCTGGCGTCTTCTGTGCTGGGTTGAGTGTTAGTGGAGGTGTTTTCCCTGTTGGATTGTGTTTCTGGAAGCCAACCGGGTCGGACGTTCCAGCAGCTTTTGCAATGCCGAGGAAGAGGAGGGTTGAGCTTGTTACATTCGGCACACTTCCAGTAGTCCTGAGTGAACACATTGTTATCTTAGATTATTACATTTTTCTTGCTTTTGAAATAAAAAAGCCTGTTTAAATCTGTGGGTCAGAGAAAGGATGGAAATGGACATGAAAAATTGGGTTTGGTGCAAAAAACCTGAACTAGAATTAAAAGTGGGGAAAAAAATATTGCTATAAAAGTTTAAAATATGGTCCCATTAAAGTCAGCATGGCATGTAATTTAATACACATTCCTGGTCGTATCATGCACAATAGGCTTGCGGATAGACGGTGCTGACGGTGATACCACCGCAGTGTTAAGCCGCAACACCGGTTACGTCACTTACCCACCGCGTCACCGACCCCCACCGTCGTTTTGATTTTTTATAGTAATAAAAATCATTTAGTTCAGTAAAAGAACAGACACTACAATTAAAAAATGAACGTGGATGCTCAATGCAGCGTGTCGAACGACAGTCACATCTCAGATCAGATTTCATTTATTCAGTGAGGAGAGTGACTGACAAGAAGAGTGGGGTGAGACAGACAAGACGATTGCGGATGATTTAGTTTAGAAACGAAATGCAAAAGCGCCTGTTTGGCAGTATTTAGAATTTTGAAAAGCCTGTTGACTTTTGCCGTTTATCTGATTTAGGAAGTTTTTTTAAACATTCGTTTCTTATTTAATTGGTTCCACATTGTTTGCTGATTTTTACTTTATTTAAACTTTGTGTCATTTATTTATTTTATTTGACATCAAGGTGTATGCCGTGCCTCCAAACTTTCTTACTCGTTTTGCTAATAAACGTTCTACGTTTCTTATTTATTTGGTTATATATTATACATTTTTACTTATTTCCAGTTTTGTATACCTATTTAAACTCTATGCAAGTTATTTGTTATTTTATATTAGGCATAGCCTTCCCTATAGCATGGTGTATTTTTATTTGTTTTGTTAATAAAAGTTCTATGTTTTATATATACGCTAAAGTGAGTTTGACGTTGTATTTTGTTGTTGCATCTAAGCAACTGACGCCGAACTGCCGCTAATTCGAAACTGAAAGTAAAATGCGCACGCTGCTTTTACAAGCTATTTAAAAGCGAAGCGTGGAAAAGAGGGGATGCCCCGCCCCCGCGGTGATACCGGTATTACCGGTGTTGTCACACGTCGATTAACCGGTGGGAAAATGTCCTCACTGTCACAACCCTAATGCACAATTAATCAGTGGACAAAGTTCAGAAGAAAAAATGTCATCATGATCTTTCAACAAAATGTAGTAACTTGCAGCATCTCTGAAACAGCTGTCCTTTTTGGCAGGCTCACAAATGCTTTTTCTTTCACCCCCACCTTTTCACAATCCAATCTAATCCTGATAGATAAACAAGTCCAGATTTTTTTTTCTCGTTTCACTAAGAAAAACATCAGGTACTAAAATATTACGTACTGCCTCAGTTATCTCGGTATCCTCATCAAACGAATCTTCATCCTCAGCAAAGATTGTGACTTCATACACCTGAATAAGCAAATACAGAATTGCAGTGAGTTGAGGACTGTTAAACAGGTTAGGTTAGTTAGATCATCAGTTAATCTCTCTCCGAATAGAACAGGAGTTTGAGTTGAAACCTCGTTCTCTCCTGGCAATGAATCCTCATCGTTCTCACTGTAGGCGTCAGAGTCTATGGACTCCACCTCAAACTCCACACTAAAGTTATCAGAGTCAGAGTCCGAGTCCACACTTTCATCACTGCCCTCACTGTGAGAGATACCTACATCCTGTAAAACAAATAAAACACTGGTTAGAAAGGGCCAAATGACAGCTCAAAAAAGTTACAGTTGCTGGTAAACCAAAACAATGTGAATGAACATTTAAAGGTGCTACTCACAGAGTTGCTTTGTGCGTCCGAAGACTCACCGTTCCCCCTCTCCCGGCGTAGGCCGCCAATCACACACCAAGACAGGCTGTCATCAAATGTCAGGGAGAAGCTGTCTGACTTGTGTCTCTTTCTGCGTTCTCTGGGCTCGTCTTCAGCTGAAGTACTCTCTATAGAAAGCACAAAGTAAGTTTAGCACTAAAAGTTATTTTTTGACACAAGAACACGCCCCCTTACATGACTGTCTAAAGGTTTTCACATAAGTGAACCACACTGCTCTGTAGTAGGGTTGTGACAATCCAAACGACGGTGGGGGTCGGTGACGCGGTGGGCAAGTGACGTAACCGGTGTTGTGGCTTAACACCGGTATCACCGTCAGCACCGTCTATCGCGGCAAGCCTACTCTGTAGGCTTTACAAACATTTCCAATCTGTTTCTTTTTCATTATGTTAAACACAAGCTTAAGTGTATACTGCATATTGTATTAGGGTAAATCAGTTTTCTTGCTGACGTTCCGGTTACATGCACTCAACTTTGGACACTTATGGGCCAAGAAGGAGCAATGCTCAGAGCAATCACCCTGTTTTAATGGTGCATCTGGTACGGCTTGCTCAACAAACTGCCTTTGTGTGCATAGCTGAGGTTTAAAAATGGGCCATTGAAGAGTAGCAGTCATCTGAGCACATTCTGCACAGCCTCCAGATCTCAGTGTCCTTTTGAGATGTTTACAGTGACAGAGAGAGCAGTCATTACGGTACCACATGTTTACCCACATACAGTCCTCTGTCGGGACTGAAGGGATAGTAGGACATGATCCGTCATGAGGGACAGTTTTCCCTGCTCACTGGTTGAGACTGATATAATGTATACTGGTTGATTCACAAAAGATACAAGGCAGGAAAAACAAACGGTTCTTGAAAAAGGACAAAACTCTCACAAGTAATAAACTAGCCGGAAATCATGAAATCTAAATGCCAAATTTTATCTAAATCAACTGATGGTACACTTGTTAAAATATGTTTACTTTTCAGTTAGATCAAACAGCAATTATTTTTTCAAAATTAACCCATTAGTTTGACTGTAACCGTATCAGACTGAGCTAGAAAAAAAAATGGACAAGCCCTTCCTGTTCCTACAGGAACTACGTCAAGACTAGAATAAACAGCTATATCTGAAATCCCATCTAACCCAGCTGATGAAGCGTGCAATTTCATACACACTCAACAGGACACAGCTGGTGTGTCTTTTGCTCTGTGGTGTGTGCGTTTACCAGGATCACTGCTTCTCCTCCTCCTGCGCTGCTGTTGTGAGGTAGATGAGCGAGATTCTGAATCAGTGTCCTAGAACAGACAGTGGGGTTTCAGTCATGCTTCAATCTCAAACACAGCAGGGGCTCTATAAAACAAACAAAGCACTACCAGGGCAACTCTGTGGAATGGGTCAATACTCTGTGAATCTAAGTGTGTGAGCATAAAAGAACGTTTACCCCGGGCCCTCGATCTGGTTCTCTTTGACTTCTGGGTTCCGAGAAGGTAGAATGAGTATCTGTAAAAGGAAACAAAGACAGTTTTAACACAAACAACATAGATAAGAATATTGTGGGGGAAAAAAAGGTTTAACGATAATAGTACCTGGATTTTTCACTGTAACAAGGTTTCTGTTGATCATTGCAAAGAGAGCTCTGAAAAAAAAATGTAAATGAAAATTACAAATGAAACTTTCGTTTTTCATATAGCAAATTTCACTTTCAATTCTTAAAAAAAACAAAAAAAAAACAGGTAGCATATGATAAAAGTAATATATACTTGTATATGCTTTTTTATCTACACTGGCCCACTATCTGTTTCCAAAGGTATCCAAATACCTTCTGCAGCCACTTCATATTTTAAACAGGTGACAACAGACCCTTTCAGAGCGAGTAGGTCAAATGTCTAGAAAGCTACCACCTGTTGCTTTAAAGCCCCACCCTGATATTCCCAGAGGTCATTGGTACTACAGCTGCTCTGCCTTAGAGAAATCAGAGAGTCAATACACACCGGGGCTCTTTGACTGAGAAACTTTTCACCCCGAGAACAGCACCAAGAGCATCCTCTCCACAGTGAACAATGTGTTGCTGCTGCTTGTCATATAACTCCTTGCTCATGATATACTTCCCCAAATAAAACATAACCTAAAAACACAGAAAGAGAATTTGTTTAGAGATCAACAGGGAAACCATTTCCTGAAACATACTGAGTGTTGACAGAAAGAATGGTAAAGATGTGGTTATATAAATACTCAATAGATGAGTAATGCAATCCTGTTAGTCAGACAACCACAACTTCCACCCATGAAAAAAATGACTCATACCATCACACTAGAGTTGACAACAGATGAAAATATTTCAAACAACATCAAATATCAAGAGTAAAATGGCATACAAATTATCCATATTGTTGCATATTATGAATGAAAGTTAGAAATTACATTTTGTATCTGTTGAATAATGGCACTTGCCCATGCAAAAGCTACTGCCATGCTGTCAGTGCATTTTATATGGTTGATAAGGTGTTCTGAGTGGTTTCTGACTAGCCTAAGCCCACCCTAAATGACTAATGTACCTCCTTTAAGGTTTTTTTTCTTAACACATTCCATCATCCTCAAATCAAAAACTTCATACTTTTTTTTTTTTTTTGTCTGATCACTACAAAAGTAATAAGCTGCAATATTTGAACTGTTTTTCATCTGTAGCACAAACTTGAGCTTAATACTTTGGGTTAGGGGTTAGTTCAAATCCCTAACCGTAAGAATGAACAATGGAAAAATATTTTCTTGCCTTAGCAAACACCACAAATGAAATGTCACTGAACAAAGGCGGTTTTGTATCTGTTGAATAATGGCACTTGCCCATGCAAAAGCTACTGCCATGCTGTCAGTGCATTTTATATGGTTGATAAGGTGTTCTGAGTGGATTCTGACTAGCCTAAGCCCACCCTAAATGACTAATGTACCTCCTTTAAGGTTTTTTTTCTTAACACATTCCATCATCCTCAAATCAAAAACTTTTTTTTTGTCTGATCACTACAAAATAAGCTGCAATATTTGAACTGTTTTTCATCTGTAGCACAAACTTGAGCTTAATACTTTGGGTTAGGGGTTAGTTCAAATCCCTAACCGTAAGAATGAACAATGGAAAAATATTTTCTTGCCTTAGCAAACACCACAAATGAAATGTCACTGAACAAAGGCGGTAACTAAATATAATTCAACACACACTGCCCTACATAATTTGCAAAATATATGCAAGTTTAACTATACACACAAATGAGCAGCAACACATGACACTGGAGAAGGATTATTTTTAGCCTGTAATGTCAAACACCACTGGCATTTGACCACAAACTCGTTATTTCAGAAACTCTCAAATATGTGTTACTGCCATAAGTGCTTATATAAAAAATTATACACACAACATACAGCAGGGTTCAGCATTACTAATACAACTGGCAAACATCCAATTATATATACAGCCATAAAACATGACATGTAACAGTTATACTACTATTCAAAAGTCTGGGGTTAGTAAGATTTTTTAAAAGAAATAAATACTTTAATTCAGCAAGGATGCATGAACTTGATCAAAAGCAGCAGTAAAGACATTAATAATGTTACAAAAGTAGGGATGTAACGATTAACTGCGAGCCGTTGAAAATCGATTCAAATATGTGACGATTCAAATCGGTTGAGATGCTAAACAAATCGCGATTCATTTAGGTGTAGGAGTTTATATGAATGTATGTCTGAGGGGAACTTACTGTCGTTAGAAAAGTTTAGATGGTATTTTTTCTTTTCATCTTGCCTCTGTATAATGCATATTAAAGTTCATAAGTGCAGCGCTCCTTTGTTTACAGCGGAAAGCAAGGAAACGTTTTAAGCGCCACCTGCTGGCAGAGAGTGAATCTGCGTGAGTGAATCGTTACATCCCTATACAAAAGTTGTTGTTTTTTTTTTATAAAAGTTCAAAAATATTCAGAAAAAATAATAATAAATAATAATAATAATAATAATCAGTTTCCAAAAAAAGTTTTGAATGTTAATACTAAAAATTATTAATAATTATTAATTAATAAAAAAAATCTTAAGCACCAAATCAGCATATCAGAATGATTTCTAAAGGATTATGACACTGAAGACTGGAGTAATGGCTGCTGAAAAATCTGCTTTGCCATCGCAGGAATACATTGCATTTTAAAATATATTCAAATAGAGAAAAAATATATATTTTAAATTGAAATAATATTTCAAAATGTTACTCTTTTTACTGTATTTCTGGTCAAATAAATGCAGTTTTGGTAAGCTTAAGAGACTTCATAGGATATCTTCCCAACCATAAACTTTTTAACATTAGTTTATATCTGATAAAATGGACTTAAACTGCTGTCAGCAGACACATCTCCTCACCTCCTTCATGGTGAAAACATCTTTATCTGCACCTGCATCCTCTAACAGGCTTTTCAGCGGCACTTTTGGTCTTACCTAAAGTTACATTTAATAACACTCAGTCATTTCAAAGTATAAAAACACACTTAAATAACACAAAGGCACACCTTGAATGCTACATTACCAGTTTTTCGTTGTCAACCTTGTTGATCTGAGAACTGCTTAAACAATTTTCTGTTGCCATTTTGGTAGTTACCTGTAAAAAATAAACAGAGTTAGATTTTACATACAACAATTTAAAGCCAATTCAGTACACATGCAAGCTTCAGAACGAACATTACCTGTGCAAATAGAGGTAAATTGGCTATTCTAGCTAAGAATCTTATATACTCTGCTACCTGTACATAAAGTGCTTGAGCTCTGGGTTAGTGTGGAGTGGGAGCCGGTCTATGGTTTAAATAGACACAGAGAGGCATGTCAGGGCTAGAATCCACCGCACCGATCATCTTGTCCTGGGCGGGTTCGGGCATGACATGTCAAAGCGTGACTGGCTTCACACGCCTAGCGGTGGTAGACTCTCTTTGCCGAGTTGTCTGGCTCTCTGTGATCATGTCCGGGCATGTCCCGTCTCACTACACCCGCCCATTGCTGGCTAAGATCTTGGATTTGGGGCTTATCAACCCAGTGACAGGTGAAATAACGGAGTGTTTGGACCAAAGCGATGACTCTCCTGGATTATTAGCGCCTCGGTTAAATAAATGCAAGGGAAAAAAGACCAAAAGTTGTTCATTACAAGTGCTACGGATGCATGGATGTCCTTTGGACTACGACAGTGCCATGTTTATATCTCTGAAATGCTCAGCAAACAGTAACTTACACACAAAATACAACAACAATCTCAAGTTTGTCGTATTCGGGATTTATATCTGCCATCATAAACACGGGAATATAACTGCCATCTATATCCATGGGAATATCTGCATTCAAATTAGCTGCACATAAGTTATGTAAAACCTGGAACTTCAATTGTTTTTCCCCCAGAGGTAACGTTAACATGATAACATATCGGCGTGTAAATATTGTTGTTTTACGTAACGTTAAGAGATTTACGTTACGTGTGATGAAACGCTCGAGGTCTTACGCTCTTTTGACACTGTCAGGATTCAGTATGACAGATAATAATATTGACAAATGATATGACGGATAACAAAACAAAGTACGTAACTTAGTGTGCTCTTCTCCAGTTATAAAGCATAACCATGTCATATAAGCCGCGGTTGTGTTTGTTTACGTAATGCTAATTTATACACATTTCTTTACAAGCAACATGAATGAATGAATGAATGAATGATGCATTTATATAGCGCTTTATTGTGTATTGCTGTACACCCAAAGCACTTTACAATCATGTGGGGGGTCTCTCCCCAACCACCAACATAGTAATAGTAGTTTTAAATACACCACTTAAATTATTCTCGTCTAATGTGAAGTATTGCGCATTTGAGCGACAAAACTAAGCTAATTTATAGTAACAACGCCACAAACGCGCGCACTCCCGGGTGTCTATTTCCCGCTGCAGATTATCAGGAAACCCCGAGGCTGTAGTAGGCCGCGCTTGCAGCGCTAGCGCAAGGCTAACTGAGGCAAATTATTTTAAGCGACTACACGGACATTAAATCCTCATACGGTGTTAAAATAATTCTCTGGAATGTACAACAGTGTTATTCAGATATTTACAGCTTTATATGTGTAATAAATATATGAGAAAGTGCGAAAATTACTAAACTGAAAGTGTTAATGTCTTACCTGCAGGTGACCGACCGTTGAGCGTCGCGAACTCCCTCTGCTGGCGCCTGTTTGAATTTGAAATGTTCTAGCACGTGCGATAAGCGCGCGGTGTGAACACACGTACTGGAAGGCGAGTTGGATATTGTTTACACTATTAAGCCTATCTACATTTGCTGTTCTACTGTTAATGCGATTAAAATAACAGAGTTAAATTCATATAATATTTAACACGACATTTGTATCCTTATTTTAGTAGCCTGTTGCATCAAACTGGACTAGTTTAGCTCATCAGGTATAAAGTAATATGTATGAAAATGAATGATAATATAACAACAAAGTCAGGCTACTTGACCTAAGGATACTTGAGCTAAGGTAGGTGACAAACAGCACTTTGGGAGATTATTATACTTTTTAAATGCTTTAAATATATATTTTCATTCTCTACACATTTTATGAAGTGTATACTGCTTTTTAAAACCTTTAAAATATATTTTCACATTATATTAGCGATATTTAGTAGGCCTACATTTAAACCTAATCTTCGTGGGTTGCATTCAGTCCAATGTTTAATTGTAATATGAGATTAATCAACAACATTATCACTTACTAATTGTGATGTGCTTACAGTAATACAATTTGTAGTTATAATCATGATAATATTAAATGCATCACTTTAATCACCACTAGCTAATTAATTCCTCCTTTGATTAATGACATTTTGCATTCTATTCTATATTGCGCTAACTGAAAGAACTTTCATCTGTTTTGATTTCTTAATGAGTAATGATGATCTGTTCCTTCACTATTAAGAGAATCTGTGAGTCACCTGGTTGGTGACAATGCTGGGAATACACTAGCTGTGTGTGAAATCCACATCAGAAAACATTCATTTTTAAAGTGAGTCTGTTGTCATGACATGACTGTTGTACACCATTGTGTATGAATGGCAGACTTGTTTTTCTCGCCAACAGAGAAACTTGCTAGGGGAGGTCCTGTTTGCGGAGTGAAATTACCTCTTTATGAAGGGGACAAATGGACTGTGCCATGAAGACATGTCTTGTACAGTCCCTGTGACAGGATCTGTTCTTTATAGCCCAGGAGAGTGACTCAGTTTATTTTAGTACAACATGTTCCTTTAAGCTCAACATGTTTGGGCTTGTACGTCTGTAATAGTGAGGAAATTCCATGGACCACTGAAGAATAAAGCCATACATTTTATTAATGGAAGTAAGGATAAAGACAAATCCTAAAGATTAATATTCAAGAAATTTACACATGTTAAAAGTTTGGAAACAATTATTCATCTATGCTAAAGTTATTCAACTATGCAACAACACAAATGGAAGTTTGAGAAAAAAATCAAAACTAAAAATTGCCACTCTGTATAGATTACATCTTTGTTGATTCTCTCTACACACTTTATGAGGTGCTTCTTCCTGTATTGAAGGGGTTTCCATGTTGGCACTTATTGGCTTCTTTCCTTTTTCAGGGTTTATATATATATATATATATATATATATATATATATATATTAGCAAAGATACATTAAATGTATAAAAAGAAACAGACATATATAACACCACAAAAAAACTCTCTATTTAT